AACCCCCCCCCTCCCCCAACTCCCCGATGGGTGGTGTCCAGAGAGAGACAGGTGGGTTACAAGACACTGCACCAACTGGGCAGCATGTGTCAAACATACCACCTCCAGCCCACGCCCTGGTCATCAATCAAAGCCGTCCGGGTCTTCCATCAGCCGGTCTCCCCCCCCCCCCCACGCCCCCCGTCCATGTATCAGACTTCACTCAGTCTCAGGGACATTTCCAGGTTGGGTTGGGTTTTTCCCTCGGTCTGGAATCTCGTCTCCAGACGTGAGGAAGAATTCCGTCCCAACAAACACCTGCTGCAGAACTCCTCTAACGGAACTTTCTGGAAGTATGGAACTATTTACAGGAACATTAACTTTGTTTTCTGAAAACTGAATACGCCACCTACAGGGATGTCGCTGTATGTGCAGACGTAACAATAATTCAATGGCAGCAGAAGTCCTGATTGACAGGAGGTGCCAAAGGTCAAGCACAGAGGTCAGACAAATCAATAGGAAATATTATCAATAATAATAATAAGACAAATGAAGAGCAGTAACTTCCCTCCCATGGTATCAAGACAAACACATGTTAAACCCAGAGACCAAGAAATGGACCAGTTCTAACAAAGCATTCTGGGGTCGGGGGTCGGAGGTCAGAGGTCGTCTGTAACAGCCGTATACAGAAAACTGCTAGTAAAAAATGAGTCACATGACTCCTGTGACCTTCTCTGATGAACTTTTAGATCGTTATTCCACTAGTACACGTATGTCAAACTCAAGGCCCGGGGGCCAAGTCTGGCCCGCTGCCTTACTTTATGTGGCCAATCAGAGCTCAACATGAATGTGGTTATTTTTGAGGTTGACACTTCAACTCACTGGAGTCTAGTTAGTCACGATCAATAACCAATAACTCCTGAAATGTTTGGAACTCAAACTCCGACACTTTAACAATTCAACAAAGATGAAAACACACTGATTGTTTTCTTAAAAGTTCAAACACGTCAAGAAAAAATGCCAAGAAGGAAGAGGAAGAAAAACCGCTACAA